AGTTTGGAAAGATTCGTCGACTATTGGCACAATGTGATTAACCTTGGAGAAGTAGATAGCGGACAAAGACTGGCGCGTCGCGAGGGGTAGTTGTTCGCATGCTTGCATCCCCGCGGCAAACCGTTGGTGAAGTAATGATGCAATAGATTGACTATCGATTGCCCTTTGTGCCGGGGGATTGGTTGCATATTCTTCGGCTGTAGCTTGTCCTCTCTGTACAGTCCGAGGCTTTGCTTTCAGCACAGCTGGAGAGTTGATCCAGAGCCCGATACGATCCCGGAGAGGGCTCCCAGTCGGTTCATATAATCTTTCGCGAATTAGGGATTCTGGATTGAGATCCCCCACGAATCTCTCGGTGGCAGGGACCGATGACGAAGCTGGACTATCGGTTGTTGTCCGTGCTCGGCCTATGTGCGCGGATGCAGGAAGTTGTTCGCGATTGGAGTCATCTCTGCGGATGGGCACCCCAGGGTCATCGTTTAATTGGGGCGGTGACCGTCGATTTGGATCATTGGGGGGCTCCCATTTGGGGATTAAATGTCGACACCGCTTCTGTTGCGAGGTTAGATGGAGGCTTTCTGGGTTCAATGTTCTCATCGTGTACGCACCTTTGATCGTTGGCAGGTGGGACAAGCACGCAAGGCTCGAGTGCGACTCCGCGACTGAGGGATATCCGGAAGCCAAGTGAGTTCCATCTAGGAAAACCATTTAGATCACATGTGTTTTTATAGGGGAGATTCTTTAGCAGAAGCGGAGATCGAGATAGGCTTATCGATAAGGCGACTCCAAAATTGGAGTCAACCAATGAGCTTCCAAAACCCAATGAGTTACATAATTCAAGTTTCAAGCCCTGGAGCTGACAAAGTACCTAGGTACATCGTGGATGCATTTTCCTACACAGACACACCAATGGATTAAAAAGACAATTAGCTATAGTGTACATATTCAAATGGGTCCGAAATCGATATAAAATCTCATGCGCCTGACTTCTTTAACTCCTTAAATATTCCCCGGCTGAAACAACATGGAAGCAAACATAGCCAACGTAGGACTTTTCTAAGCCAGGAAGGTGACACGTATGCATGCAGTTGACGAATTCTAAACTGGATTTGAAGAATTTTCTGCTGCTTCAGCAGCCACTAGGGCTTCAATAGCATCATCATCATCAAACTCATCAAGCTCGCCAGGCTGGATTTTGACATCCTCGGTCTTGGCAGATTGAGGCTCAACTGGCACGTTGTTGGCCAAAGCGGTCGAATCTTCCTTGTCAGAAACGCAAGGAGCCAACAGAGGCTTTTTGGATGGCACTAAGCTCCAGTCAATGATTTCGTCTTCTCCGTACCGCAGAGCAAGCCAATCATTGCACTTCTTGAAGTGTCCATTCTTGAACTATATATCATGTCAGCGAAGAAGGGTTTCAAGGACAAGTCCCTAGAGGGTGGTCTACTCACAAAGCCATTATGCGCACTCAGAGGACTGGGATGCACAGATTGTAGGATGCAATGCTTCTCTTTGTTGATTTTTGCCACTCTGGTTCCGGCAGGCCGGCCCCAAGCAAGGAAGACGACGCCATTGGTTCGTACACGAGCAACGAGATCGATCACCTTCTGTGTGAATTTCTCCCAGCCCTTGTTGGAATGACTGTTGGCCTGGTGGGCACGAACAGTAAGGCAAGTATTGAGCATCAGGACGCCACGCTCAGCCCAAGGTATAAGTAGCCCTCCCTTATCGGGCGGTGACTCGAAGTCAGGATAGTCGATCTTGATACCCTTGTAGATATTGAGCAGTGATGGCGGGGCTCGCACAGGGGCGCGGACGGAGAAACATAGCCCATGAGCTTGGTTGTGATTGTGATACGGATCCTGGCCAATGATGACCACTTTGACGTTGTGTAGGGGGGTGTGTCGGGACCTACAGTCTGATTAGCACACGGATTTGGCCCAAATAGAGTAATCAGGTTACCAAGAATAGACATCCTCCTCTGGTGGAAAGACCTTAACATTGGAATCTTTCTCCTTCTTTAGGAATCGCTTCAAGTTCAAGAATTCAGTGCTGACCACTTCATCCTTCAAATGAGCGAGCCAGCTCTCATCCAAGGTATCAATTTCCAACTGTAATAGTTCCTTTTGTTCTGGCGTCAGGGAAGCAACCCATTTTGCCTTATCAAAGCTGCTTGGCCGTGGGGTTGGGGTCGAAGTTGAAGTTGATTGATTGCTCGGGGGTTTCGGCTTTGGAGCTCCAAAGAATGCAGTGATGCTTCCACCTTTGGGTTTTTTCGAGTCAGGGGCGGAGAGATGCTCCGATTTTCGTTTTATGGCAGGGCTGACCATGATGGATGGGCAAATATGAAGATTGAAGAAACGACCCCCAGAGTGTTGGAAGTTGTCGGGGATTCCCTCCGGGCCGATAAGAGATCGACGCGTTTCACGCGACGCGATTGATCTGCAAGGCTGACTCTGGTGATGAAATCTATAGGCTACATATGTAGAATTTATAGAATTTATGAAATTTGTAAAATTATTGAATAATTTACAGATTACAGATTTACAGATTTACTCTATACCAGTCACTTCAAGTCTGGACTGTGACAACAATCTACGGTGAATAAACGGCATCGAGTATAGTCCGAGTTCAGACAAAGAATACAACATATGAAGTTACATATTCAAAAAGCGAGTAAGCGCTTAAAGCTCATCGTGAATATCCTTCTCATCGGATGCGGGAGACTCAGTGGCCTTGGGGGCCGCAGTGACCTCGGCACGCTCCTCGGGCTTCTTGGCGCCATCGGCCAGGCCGTCCACCTGATACTTACCGTTCTCCTTGATGAAGGTGACCAGGTCTTCAACGGTGCGAGAGCCGGCGTACTCAATAGGGGAGTCCTTAGCACCAGCGGGGTAGAGCTTGATAGTAGGGAAGCCAGTGATGGAATCGGGCACATCGTTGGCAGTGGCGTCGACCTTGGCGACAGTGACCTTCTCGTTCAGCTCGGGGATATCGGCGTACAGCGCAGCAAGCTCGTCGTACTTGGGAGCAAGACTGGTGATAATTAGTTAGATATACGACAAATGACAAATGAGCTGTAGAAAACTTACGATTTGCAGTGTCCGCACCAAGGAGCGTAAAACTCGACCAGGACATCCTTCTCGTTGTCAATGACAACCTCCTGGTAGTTGCGGCCAACAACAACGGTAACAGATCCCTCCTGAGTCTCAGGAATGGGCTCGGACTTGAGGCTAGGCTCAACCTTGCCGTCAAGGACGTCCTTGATAAACTTGCCGACGTCCTTGGCATCAACCTTCTTGTTCTGGTCGTAAGGGTACTTGGCGTTCTTGGTAGTGTCTTGGATAGCGAAAGCAGGGAACTTCTCGGGCTCAAGGTTGAGGTTGCCAGCGTGAGCACCAAAGAGCTTAGCATCAAGGGTAACAATGTTGATAGCTCCGCGGTGAGTCTCAGCGACGGGACGGAAATCAGCAGCGAACTGCTCGCGCTCCTCGGGAGTCTCGGCGAAGATGTAAGCCAGAGGAATACCGGCCTAATCGTCGTAGAAGTCAGTCTCTTTTCTTGCTCAAATAAGGGACAGAAGAAGCTAGACATACCGCCATGTACTTTGAGTAAGTCTCGGGACCAAGCTCGCCAACAAGAGGAGTGCTAGCGGTCTTGACCCATTCGAGAATGGCCTCATCCTCCAGCTTTCCGTCGTACACGGCCTTCTTCTCATCAAAGTCCTTGTAGAGAACAATCGAGGGCTGCTTGGCGCCCTCGGCCTTGGCGAGAGCAGCGTCGTTGGACGCAGCGAAGAGGAAGTTGTCACGCTGGGATTCAGCGAACGAAGTGAAGCTCTTGTTGGCGGCCTTGTCATCAGAAGCAACGTATCCAATAATCACAATCTTGTCCAAGGCCTTGAATTCCTCCAGGTTCTCCTCGTTCACGTTCGAGACGGCGGGCATGGACTGCTTGGTCATGTATGAAACAATTCTATTCAAGAAATGCGTTAATTTCCAAAGCACAAGAATCAGGAAACCAGAATGACTTACGCGTCGGACTTGCGGGCACCATCGTAGGGCTTGTGCGAATCGGGGCCACGGAAGACCTTCAGAGTAGGGTAGCCATCAACTTCGTAGGTTCGGCACAGCTCCTCCTCCTCGGTGCAATCCACCTTGACCACAGGAATATCCTTGGCCTTTAGCTCTGTGGCAGCCTCTTCATACTTGGGGGCAAGGGCCTTGCAGTGACCACACCAAGGCGCATAGAACTCAGCAAGCACCAAAGGGTGCTCCTTGACGAATTCATCAAAGGTATCGGTTGTCAAGGTGACGACATTGGCATCAGCATCGGCAACTTCAGGCTCAGCGGCGTGGACTGCCGCAGTAGCTCCAAGGAGGCTCAGGACCAGAGGGGCGAAAGACCGCATAATTAATTAAATCAAACAAAAGCCCAAAATGCTCAAGGTTGAAAGCTAGAAGAAAGAAGTAGAGACAAGCTTAAAAGATCCAGAGAGGGAAGGTTTTAATGGGGAATGGGCACTTGAGGACAGTTTGTTCACTAAAGGTGGAGCTCTGTGACTGGCTTATGCAGGGCTGCAAGGGCGGACCTTCCTTGAGGTACCTGGTACCTCCACTGCCGGGTCAATTTAGGTGGAAATCCAAGTACAGGGCACTTATCCCTATAATATACAGGTTCAAATACTTTGTACGGAGTACATACATACGCAGTCTATAATAGTAACGGAGACATGTCCTTGATATTTGACGCATATATATGCATAGTTGACAAGTGGCCTCTATTTACTTATTAACTACTACCTTATATTCCCTATTAAACATCACGAAATCTATGGGAATACCCTGATTTGATTTCCCTTAGATATATTTGCTCCTGGATAGATGAAAAAGACCAGTCTACCAATATATAGACCCTTCAAGGGGGGAGGGGGGGAGATAAAAAAAAGCAATTCTCCTACTTGTCACATCACAGTCACACCATACGTTGATCTTCACTCTTCAAATCGGATCCTCCGTGGTTTGATCGTCAGATATGGTCCCATATTCAGATCCTTGCGGTATGCCATCCAACTCAGCTCCCAACGCCAAGGCATCTCGTTTCCCACGGTCCACATCCACCAAAAGCATAAGTGGTAGTGGCACAATAATTAAAACCGCCAAGAACACAAACGCCGGTCGAATCTCACCGTAGCGATCGGTAATGGCGCCAACAATGGCCGGCCCAAAGATGCTAGACCCTTTGTCGGTGATTGCATAAAGCGCGTAGAAAGCCGCTTCGTAGCCTGGGGGAATGAGTTGCCCGAAGAAACTTCGACAGTATGATGACAGTCCACCCATGACAAGGCCATAAACGGCCCCCAAAGGATACATTTCCCAAGGCTGATGGAGACCAAGCCCCACGCGTTGCACAGCCGGGATGAACCCAAGAAGACCATACAGTGGAATGAGCTCAAACAGGGCAATGCACGCAATGATTGTCTGCGAGGCTCGTAGATTGAAGAAATTCGATATGTAGCTCCAAGAGAATGCACCGAATACTCCTGCAAGCATGACAATCACATTGATCAGTCCCAGGGCAGCAGGTTTCATGTTCAGTTGGGTTTTTGCAAACAGTACAGCAGTGCCACTGACCGTGGCAATTCCATCACTGAGTAGGAACCAGGCAGCAAGGAAGATCACGATATCTTTCAGTTGCCGCGCCCGCGTCACAGTTTTGCCAAGAGATTTCCAGGCATATGCCATGTATCCGATCCACGAATGAAGCGGTTTGCTGTCACTGCCCAATAAAGGCGGGCCTGGCCGAGTGCGCAGCCACAAGGCTGCTGGGATGGTAAAAGCAAACCACCATAGCCCAATCAAGAAGAGCACAAGGCGTAATGAGAATGTTGGTGGACGCACGACCACAACAACTAAGATAGAAAAGATCTGTAGAATCACAGCACCGATATAACCTATACCGATGCCATTGGACGAGATTCTGGTGGAGAGTCTAAGCTCCAGGGAAGTGGTAGTGGCAGCAGATGTCTTTGTGGCTTCCCCGTTGGGCCCGAGTAGCGGCGTGGAGTCATCCACGTTTGTTCGGTCAATATCTCCAATATCTCCGGTCGAAGAAAACAAAGGGCCGCCCCTGGGGCTCGTCACATTATCATCTGACAGCGTCGCCTCTCCACTTTCCTTGAGCGATGGGTGGTGGCGGACCAGAACAGGTAGAAACGAATTCAAAAGGACAAAAGACGCACCAAAGCAAGTATTTGAAATGATTGCAAGCAGTCCACCTAGGAGGTAAACCTTGGGGACCACAACCAAAAACAACATGGTCGCAATTGAGCCAATGAAAGCAAAAACAATCAAGAGTTTCTTGCGATAGGTTCCATGGTCAGCGGCTCCTGACATTGAGATTATCAGGACTGCCTGAACCAAGACGCTCAATGAAAAGGTATACAGGGCAAAGCTTGCCGTGTTGATTTCAGCGCCGAGGAAGTAGATGATGCACTGGCCACCATCTGACACCTGGGGAAGATACACCGGTGCATCCGAGCCTGGTGATGGCAGCGAGGGGCTCCAAGTTGCGCTGCATGGTGTGGTTTTGTCAGACAACAGAACGCCCCGATCCCGAGCCATCTGCTCTAGCGTTATCGGAAGAAATGAACCTTTCTCAAATCAGATAAAGTCTAGGGATGAAGATCCAAAAAAAGATCCATGAAAGTGGAATCACACGTACCCATGGCACATACTACAAAAGCCTCGGCAGCCCAGCCATAGCAATACCAGCCAGCAAGCTCCCTCTTGCTGGTTGGCCGGATATCATCACCAGGATATTGAGGAAGAGACTCGACATTCTCCTGTATACTCATGGCTGGTAAGGGAAGGCCAAATTCATGGCCAGAAATGAATCAAATAAGTAGGCATACAGTATTGCGAGATAATAAAGGTCAGTTAAAAGTCACTTGCACATGTGGTTTAAATGATGCCCAGTTGGTTAGAGATGATGGTATCAAAGAGGTGAGGTCATATGAAGGGCCAATGTTGACTCTTTCTGGGGAGGTCTTCTTTACAAGGTATGGTACAAGAAGTCACTGTGAACTTCAGGGACAGTATTAAATTGTACTGTAGCGGTTGTAGCAGTACTTCCAAAATACAGAGTTTATTACCAATACCGTGCAGAGTGATACAGCTGATACATCACAGTATCAGGCATCAAGGCATAAAGGCATCAAGGCATAAAGGCATCAAGGCATAAAGGCATCAAGGCATAAAGGCATCAAGGCATAAAGGCATCAAGGCATAAAGGCATCAAGGCATCCAACGGAAGGCGGTAGGGTAAATGCATGCAGCGCATCGCGCTTTCATCAAATCATCTTGGGCTTGAGATCTTGTTGACCCAGTCCTCTTCTGGGCACTCATTTTCTTCCCAGCTGCCTTTCCAGAATATCTATGAACCTTTAAATTCATCTCAGTCACTTTGACAGTTACTCTGCCCTTCGTTTCCTGCCAGCCCACCAGATTGTTTTGCTGTGTTCCTCGCATTGCGACAACCCTGCTATTATCCTTGAAATATCTAGATCCCCGATCGCACCTCTCGTCACAGCTAGTTGCTAGACAGATCAAAGTTGAAACCTGTGCGATCCGCAGCATTTTGCACTGATTCCGATCCCGATCCCGATCCGTTGCCATCCTCGCCCGAGCCTCGACCGACAGTTTGAGGCCCATTTGAATCCCAAGCCGTGCGCCAAGCTCCTCCGATTATGAGCGTGGCCTTCTGTTTGCACGGCCCGTGAAACGCATGGCATCATATTGAGGACTCACCTGTGGCCTTATCTTTGACTTCGGCTTCCCTTCCTACCCCAGCGCCGACTGGATCGAGCCCGGAGCAGTGCCTGTGTTGCGTCGCTTGCTCTGCGCCGTGCAGAGGGCCGAGGAGGGGAAAGCTTCGACGGACAATCACAAAGCAGCTAGGCTGTGCTTCCAGAAATGCCCGGTGTCGTCATGGACAATGTCAACATCGAGGGATCTGTCCGGCGGCCAGGCCTCAATGAGGTCAGAAATGGTTCGCCTAATGCCTGTGGTAATGCTGATAAGTCCGGCCATCTCCCCGGCATGAATGGATCGGTTTATGTCAATGGCGCATTGAGTGGGATTGCTGCTTCGAATCAACACCCAAGAACGTTCGCAGATAAGGCAGCGGAAATCGTGCCGACATCGCCATTCAAGCTGCCACATATCACACAAGGGTTCTTTCCGTTTGGGACATTGGTCAATCGCTCAGTACAAGAATGTTGGAATGAGCTCTCGGAGTTGATTACAGAATTGGCTACGATACAAGTGCCAGCCTCGGGCGGTTCGATGCCACCGAATGGAAAAACAGCCGGCAATCAGTCATCGGAGAATGTGCACAAGAAGTTGCGACTCTTGGATTTCGCTCATGCCAAGAGAGCCGAGTTCATCAAACTCCTAGTCCTCTCGCAATGGAGTCGACAAGCTGCAGATGTCAGCAGACTCATTGATATCCAAGGGTTTATTCGCACACGACACCAATCATACGACGCAGCTCTTCAGTATGTCGGTGAAGTAAAACGAGATCTTGTTCGAGCACAAGTTGCCAACCCGGATTTAAAAACAGCGGTGGAGGTATTATCAAAAGGACGAGTCGCCTCTTTGCCAGATGTGAGTTTCTCCAATGGATTCGCAGCCTGTAATAATCTAACATCTTTACCAGCTCGGTTACAAACCTCCCACACCACTGACAGCACGAGCAACACTCAAAAAGCTACTTAAACTCAACCGAATCATCAGCGTGCGGTTGGTATTACATGATTCAGTGCCGCTGCCATTGCGCAATTACCGGGTCCATGATGGCCGGGTAACATTCACAATTTCTGGTGAATTTGAACTTGATCTCTCAGTCGCGGAAGAGTCAAAGGCATCCCAGTTTTTCTTCGTGGACATTCGCTTCCTTTTCTCGCCATCATCACCTATCCCAAAAGGTCGAATATTCAACGAACTTGATGGTAAGATTAATGATCTACTCCGTGATGATGGTTTGATGGGATGTTTCCAATTTCTCCACGGTCTCGTTCTTACGAACAAAATCAACATTCTCTTCAAGCAAGCCGTGGACCTTTCTCGGGGCCTCTGGGCAGATGCGTTGCGTATCGAGCTATTACATCGAACACTTGTCGTTCAGTATTGGCCTCAGAGATCGGGGCCGAAGAGCTGGCTCGAAATTGGAGTCAAGAGTGGTCATCGCGGTGGCAGTTCTAGCGACCCGAAGCCTGGGATATCTCATCTCGGCTTCCGATGGATGCGTGACGGCCAGCAGGTCAGCAGCGATGCCATCAGGTTCAACCCAGGTGATCTATCTATGGAACTTATTTTGAGAAGCGTCATCGCATTACACACGTCACATCTTCTCTCTACTGCATTTACCACCCTCAAAAAGCATATTCTTTTCTCGAATCACACATTATCACTACAGGCTCAACTATCACCAACAGAACCTGGAGATTGTCGCCTTGATGTGCAACTCACAGCCTCGCGTTCTCTTCGGGTTTCTATCGAACCTATGTCAGGATCCATTACCCTGTGTGGGACACCGCAAGTGTTGGAACGTCTCGATGGTGATCGAGGGCTCTATAAATCATCGACAGAAGAGATATTATCTCGTGTCGCCCGACTACGATGTATCACTGCGGTGGATGAGGTTGACTCCGGCACAAAGGCACTCGGTCTCGAACCTGTGAACCAAAGAGTACTTGGGCTTGATCCCCGCAAGCTGTTCCCTCCTGGTGTAATGCGGACCGCTTTCTTCACCCATCGGCTTTGGAACCGGCACTGGGTCGCTGCAGCGACCAGTAGCATGGATGGCGACCGCTGGTGGCTTGTTCAACTTCGGCCAACCGAGACAGCGAAAATGGGACCATTGTATAGTATTGGCGATCATAGTATGAGTGTTCCGCAGGCCCACGTGGTCAGTGAAACTCTCGTTCCTCCGCAGAGACGGCTCAACTACACAACGTGCGCCGAGCTGGTCCATGGGCTCACTGGAATCCTGGCGATCCATGCCAATGCGCGTTATCTGGCAGACTTGCCAGCCATGCATTTCTGGCCCTCGCTGAAAGAATTGCAGCTAGAAACGGATCTCACAGTCCCAGATATCTTATTCAACTATAGCTCGTCCACACTTCCACCTGCTTTCCGGGTCACCTTGCCCTTCGGGGTAAAGAAGCAGTCGCAATTCAAAGAAATGATTCGACTGGTTTTCCATGGAATTGACAGCCAGAGCCGCTCTGTCATAATGATGGCCCACGGCACTTTGAAAACCCGCATCAAATCCTTGATCCCACTCGTCTCAAAGATGGATTCTTCGTTGATCATCGAAGACAAGGGTGCTGGCTTCGCGCTTCGCTTGCTTGTGCCAGCCGGTCATTCTGTTGTCGCTTGTCTGTTTGAACTCTTGCAGCGACTTGAATGTGTTCTCTCTATTCTCCAGTCCCTCATACGGAAGGGAATGGAGCCCCGATCTTTGTCCTTGTCGCGAATTGATTTTGCCTATGGGCCCGAGAACAAATTTTCTGCTTTCTTTGATATCAGCGCCGAGGGGCCTTCTTTGTCTGACTACGTTGACGTTGCAGATGCCATTTCGAAGACCAAGCCTCTCTTCCAACTGAAACTGGGCATCAAATTCGAAAGCTCTAGCCCTCACCGCCGGATTCAAGAGCCCCTCACCGTGGCTTTGAACCAGCGATTCACTGAAGCCGGTGTTGAATCAACCCTCCAACTCTTAGCTACCACGCTTCCTCTACTACGGTCATTAGATCAGATCACTTCTCAGCCGAATCAGACGGATCTGTCAATTGTGCAAATCATCGCGCGCAAACCGACTGTATACCTGATTCACTATCCTCGACTGAGATCTCGTTTCCACTTGAGTGCAGTGATGCACCAGGACCGTTTGGTCTGGATGTTAAGGGATGCCAACGGAATGGACCAGTCTGGTCGGGGCCAGGTCGCAGCTTTTATACAAGAGAAACTGTACCAGTCGAAAGGCGATGGTTGGAACGGCCTTGGAGATGGAGCGGTAGCGAGTATCAACAAGGTTGGAAACCTCATACTCGAGCTACATGAGTATCTTAATACTCCCCATCTTCAACTCGACAGAGAAGTGGAAGTCAAACCCGAGCAAATCCCGAAACAGTTGCACATCAAAGGGTCGACATCTGCCGCTCCACAAGCTAGGGGAAATACCGATGTCATCACCATTGACTAGGCATTGTGGTGATCCATCCATGATCTCCACCTCCGTCCTCTCTAGGGCTTCGGCGTAGCTCGATACTTTTTTTTTTTGAGCCTTTTCCGTTTTAATACAAGAGCAACTACAAGGTTCTCTTCATGATGTATTCCTAGGTCTCGATATGACATAGCATCTAAGTGTATTTCTGTTCATGATGCGTGAAATTTAATTAAATCGTTCCTACAACTAGGTTAACAGCGCTCTTCCCTGATCTTCCCTCGGTTGCGTGACACATCGTACTCGACCCATCTGGCCATGGGAGCACCACCTTCCGGTAGCAAGCGCCCGGGGTTCATGACATGACAGCCCTCATAGGTCATGCAAAACGGTGCAGCTTCGGGGTCTGCAAGTACCAGTGCGGTTGGCAGCGGGTACAACTGTAGGGCCGAGGCATGGTCCCATAATACGGGCCGCAATGGTAGCGGAAATGGGGAGATTGTTCCTTGGTCCAGGATGGTCTTGACGAGTCTGCGGGCCATTGACGCTCCAGACGAGGCGGTTGCAGCCTTGGTGCCCTGTGGCGGCTGGCCCATGTCTTCAATCTGGCCCTCACCTACAGCAAAGACCGCATCACTAGCAGAATTGCTCGAGGGCTCATCCATTGTAACATCTGACTTGTTCTCAAGGGTGGTGTTGACAGCACTGCGTCTCAGCCTCCCCGAGATATCATCTCTGAAGATGGCGATGTCATGCACTGGCCCAAACCACGAAAGACGTGCCGGATTAGAGGTCCAAACTGCATCACCGGCGGGTTCAGGGGTTTGTGACCTATTCAAATCCGAGTTCGCTGTTGCAAATGCACGTCTGACTCGAGAGGTGAACAATTCCGGAATGGGTTGTCGTGGTACCGTTGAGGCTGCACCGGCAGAGAATGCCGACGCCCAAGGATCATTGTCACCTGGCACAAAGACAAAGGTCGAGTGTTGTAGCAACGCTGGGAAATCGGATAAAACCAGCGCTAATGAGTCGAAGTATTCCTTGTATTCGATACTCCCGGCTCGGCCACCTCCACTAATGATAGCTTTCTGCGCAAAATTGCCGATCAAGACAAAGGCTTGTGGGCGTTCAGGAAGAGATAGATCATTGTAGGTGCTGAAGACCCTCTTCAGGGCGTCCAGTGTCTTCATGTTGTCTAGATTGACTTCACTCATGATAGCGACTTTGAGTCTGATCGTTTCCGGTGCGTCCTGGTCTCCTCGTAGGCATTTTTCCTGGATTTTTCTCATTCGTGCACCCTGGGCACGTTCACTTCCCAATCCGAGGAAGTCAACCCACCCAAATCCACCACTAGAGCTCAGCTGTCCGCTGCCGTGGCGGTTGCTTGTTCCTAGCGAGATATCACGTCGCTCACAGGGAGGTCCGCAGATTGATATACCGACAAACTGACCTCCGATTGCACCCCCGATTCCTGTATTCCCTCCCAATGCAGCACCTTTCACCATCTCTTCCTCTTCGTAGATGCCATCGACAAGCACAATCATGCCTGGCGCAAACCACGCGCCATCTTCGGGTATCATTCGGGCATGGCTCAAGTCCAATGCTACACTTCCAGTCAAGTCCACCAGGGACAAGTCTCCAGTAGGAGAAATTGCAAGCAATCCTAATAGTAGATGCGAGGTTCCACTTCTGCCCAGCAAATTTGCGATTGGCGTCAATTTATAGGATTTTCGGTGGGCAAAATTGGACGATGAACGTTGCAGTGAAGGAATACCAGCGACACCCAATGAGCTCTGAAATGATTCATTGCGGAGCAATCGCTGATACACAAGATTGTATCGATCTCGGAATAGTGCAGTTTTGTAAGATGGTGATGGAAACAAGGATGGCTTTGACTTCATGGCTTCGAAGTATTTCTTGTCGACGTTATAAGTCAAGCGCGGAAGATCAAAGGCGTTAATCACCTTGAGCCAATGTCTTGGGTGAAGTGACAGCTGTGTGTCATCTTCCTCGGCAGTCCCTTGTTTTGATGTATCACCGGCTGTTTCAACCCGCCCATCATCTACACCCAGGGTGGATGCCTTGAAGGAACCATCTTGGGGAGTCGTTTTCCCAACAACAACCCTTCCACCACTCATACTACCCTCGAGTGTTTGCAGTATTGTCTTTAGGGATGCTCCTTTCCCTTCCTCGACAATTACGCCTCCGCCGGCTCTTTTCCATATCTTAGCAACCTCATCCAAAACTCGCTCTGCTAGGCCTTCCTCACGCCATCCTGAGCCACAGTTCTTGCCCACAAACACTGCTAGTGTTTGAAGCGCGGATGATGATATTGTGAGATTATGTTTGCGGGTGAAGGTTCGGAAGGCTACTGGGCGTAGGGTTGATGGAGGGAGTAAGATTGGTAAAATTGAAATTTTGGGGGGAGGCGCATTTCCCTTGGGTATTCGAAATGGACGTGCTGGTGTCCCAAATGCAGGCGAGGAGGAAGGGATAGGGTCTCCTGTCGCCATTCTGAAGCGATCAGGATGTCGCGGTGTTGAGGCGTCCATATTGTCTCAAGCTTTCGAGGCACGCGACAAAGCCCTATAAATTTGGTATTTGTTCAGAAGCTCCAGCGAAAATCAATTCAGAATAGAAAACTGCTCTAGTAAGAATTCAGAGTAGATGCATAATAAGACGGGAGAAGGGGTGGAAGAGAGAGAGGGAGAGAGAGATCCAGAATTCAAATTCAATTAAATCGAAGACGCGTGACACGCGCGCCGGAGCTAAAGCTTCTTCCAATCTCTTTCTCTCTCTCTCTTTTTTTCCCACTTCACTCGACTCTCCTATATTAATCTTACTCTTACTTCCTAAGAAACCTATCCTTTTCATTTTTCAACTTGTTTCTTCCTTCTTTCACTACTCTTCACTAAAATCGCACTCACCATGGCTAATCCACAAGACGTTCAATCTCCCGTCTCGGAGCAAGAGAAACGAACCCAACTCGATGACTTGATCGCACGCGCTGCTGCAAAAGATGCGACCAAAGATCACGACTCTGCTTCTGAACTGTACTCCCAAGCTACCGAACTTCAGGCCGAACTCAACGGCGAATTGTCCCCCGAGAATGCCGATTTACTCTATGCCTACGGAAAGTCATTGTACAACGTGGCTGTGAGTAAAAGTGATGTCCTTGGCTCCAAGGTAGCCGGCGAACAGCAGCCGCAATCTGGCACCGCATCTTCAACAAATACATCTTCCGCTGGGTTAAAATCCACCAGTGATTCCCTTGTTCAAGATGCGATCGCCAATTCGATGGCGGAAAAGTCGTCTTCCACCAAGCGCGCAGACAGAGAATCAGAGCCTACAGAATCTAAGCCATTCTTCCAGTTTACAGGAGACGAGAACTTTGTCGACTCCGAGGACGAGGATGAGGAAACTGCTGAGCAAGCTGAGGACGATGAAGAAGACGACGATTTCGCCAATGCTTTTGAGGTCCTGGATCTTGCCCGTGTTCTGTACCTCAAGAAGCTAAGTGCTGCAGAGGAAAATGACGGGGGCAAAGGAAAATCGACTGTGGTGTCCTCGGACACAAAGCACATCAGGGAAAGAATCGCGGACACACACGATCTTCAAGCTGAAATTTCATTGGAAGCAGAGAGATTCAGTGAAGCGGTTACTGACTTGAGAACTGTTCTCGAATTGAGGAACTCGCTATATCCTCTAGAAGATCCCTCTGTTGCTGAGTGTCATTACAAGCTCTCTCTCGCCCTAGAATTCGCATCAGTCCAACAAGGTGGTGAGGAGGATGGCAACGATAAACCCAAAGTTGATGAAGAGATGAGGAAAGAAGCTGCCACCCAGATGGAGCATGCCATCGCGAGCTGCAAGGTCCGAATGGCCCAGGAGGAGAAGAAACTTGAGGCCGAGAAAGATGGGGATGAGGACAAGGCAACTGCGACAAAACGAAAAATCGCCAATGTCAGGGAGATCGTCACTGAGATGGAGCAAAGGGTAAGTGTTTTCTCTCTTGTCTGTTCTTTTCATATATTGTTTGAACTTGTTAATAATGAACTAAATCAGCTTGTTGATCTGCGCCGACCTCCCGTCTCAATTGAGCAGAACGACCAAGCCAACGAGGCTATGCTAAAGGGAGTTCTGGGTCAGATTATCGGTCAATCCGCAACAGACCAGAAAGCTCAGCTTGAGGCAGCTAGCAAGGGAGCAACAGATCTGTCTGCCTTTGTCAAACGTAAGCCTGCAAAGCAGCCAACCCAGCAACCTGAAACTGCCTCAAAAAGACCTGCCGAGGAACTCGCGGAGAATGGCTCCAAGCGGTCTCGCGTTGACGATGCTTCCTCGTGAACAAGGCGGTCTTGTGTCCTTTGACTGAATCGGAATTTTCTTTTCTTCTCTTTTATACATCCTAGAACCCATCTAAACTACCAGGGTGTTAATGAATTCAATGAATCAGATCCCATGCGAATTGCTGGACTTCCCCCCAAAAAAAAAAAAAAATAGATCGTAAGCTCTTGTTGGCTAATATTATAGTGGATTCGTATGTAATAGAAAAAGGCAAGACAACGAGGTTGCTAAAAAGGGTATCATGTCACATTATGCAATGACCTCATCCCACAAGGTCCATCCCCAGGATTTCCTGCAGCTCATGAGATTCCCCACATCGCAGGTCGACGTTTAATCTCACGGTTTCTTCGACGTGCAGCAAGTCCAGGGCTCCAGATTCCGGCGAACAGGTCCTCACACTCATCTTCGTCCTGGCTGTCAAACTCTGTATTCGCTGGGCCAGACTCGATTTCATATTGGTGATCGGCTTGCATAGTCTGATCCACACCAGGTGGAGATTCCCAGCATGAAGAGGCGGTGATTTTCTTGGTTTCCAGAATGAACTTGCCAACCTTGTACCGCTGTGATTCTTCTTCAGCTGCAACATACTTCCAGCCCAGGACACTGTCACAGAATGTGCAGCTAACATCACTGACTGTATGTGCCCCTGTAACAAGCTGGCGAGGAACTGGACGCTGCAATATCGTATTGGGAAGTGAGGCTGTAGGCGAAGACGACGCACTGACCGACACAGCAGTGGCTACCGGCTCCGCTGACACAAGATAAGCACGGCCATGGCGACCTGTGAACCCCTTGCTAATAATTTGGGAAGTCCAGCAAAGATGCGAGGCACAGCCTGCGCAGCGCAGATAGGAAACATGGCCGTCGAGATACTTCTCGGTCTTTGTGTTTTGGGATCTATGGTCCGTTGGAGAAAGCCCCGCACTGTGTTTTGTGGAAAACAAGGAGGGAAGGAGGAATTTGGGGAACTGGAGAGTTTTGATGCGCTCCTTAGACATTCTGGGAGATGTTTAAACAGGAGGCTTCAATCTGAGAGGACCTTAAAAGGCTTCCCAAGGTTGGAAGGGATGTATGCCCAGGTGAATGTAGCCCTGGAGGTGAGGTCATATATGACTTATCTCTTATCTTATCCGTCGGCTTTTCTTTCCGTGAAAGCGGGGGAAAGTGACATTCTCATTAGAACGGTACATAGTTAGTTACATATACGTACATGTGTAACTAATGCAACAATACGCATGGAAAAATAAATGAAAAATAAATGAAAACAATGAACAAATACTCGATACTCGATATTCGGAATAAAAGGACAGTAACCCTGCACAACAGCTCAAGTATCAAGACATTAACAAGATCCCTAACTCCAATCCAAACGGAATAAACGCATCATGCGATGCTATCGCTAGACTTCAGCGACCAAGAAAAGCCATTTATTACTAAGGCAGGGTCCTTGGTCGCTGTGTGAGACCCAGGGTGCCAAGGTGGTGAGGCTGAATCCACACCATCCTAGACTTCGCACGAGCTCCATTTCATCTGTGCGCTGGGAGCGACTGACACAGGAAACTATTTGTGAGCACCCAAAGGTGGCAATATCGGCAAGTTCGAACAGAGCGATCAAGCTGAGGGGGGTGCGAAGGTCAGCAGGTGAATCCAAGACAACATGAAGGACTGTCTCTAAACAAAAGGGGAAAGCCTTGACTTGTCCAAGGAAAGACAAGGGGCGTACATACCCTGACTTGAGGCCGTGTTCAAGTGCACAGTCCTCGAAGAAGACGAACAAGGTCCGCTCCTTATTGTGTTCAGCCACAAATCCGCGATAGATAGCATCACTGGAGTAATCCCACACTTCTATCCATCGCTGGATTCGATCATGCTGGTGTCCGATTTGATTAGACTGGATATCTTGGATCGCATCCATCCCCAGCGACTCCTGTCCCACGAAACTCCTCTCACCCAGGAATGTCGCAGACAGTCTGTCACAAAAGAGTCTCTCACACTCTTCCGGGATGTTATGCGTTGCCTCCCCCTTGTACTCTGGCCAATTGTTTCCAGGCCAGGTTCGTTCCACGCGGGAATCGAGGATGTCGTAGGGAGGACTTGAAAGAGACGATTTAGTCCCCGAAGGGACCTCAGGGATACCACTGTACCCCTAAATTTAAAGATTAGATCTCAAGTAACATGGATGCGATTTTGGGTTACGAGATACTTACCGGCGCCCAGGGTAGTGCAGTAGTGGAAGCCGTGGACCTTGGAGGTCGACGGCTCAACACTGTAGCAAGTAGCGAGAACGGTGCTTTGGGAGTCTTGGTCGAGAAACCGCTGCATTTGATTGCAATTACTACTGTGGTTATTCATATATTTCGCCATGATAGCTGATCTTTCAGATAATTGTTCTGGGGGGGGATTTGATGAACGGTGTAGGTCAAGATATCAAAGGGAATCGAAATTTGAAATTCGATGTAAGTAGAGAAGACACGATGAAGACGGTTGGTGTTTTGGTGAGGGAAAAATCGAGCGATCTGATTGATGTTGAATAGGGGAAGTGGACAGTGTGGACGTTGTGGAAGTAGAAGACGGTGTGAATGGGGGGCGAGCCCAGTCACCTGACCCTCTCTCTCTACATTTAGAATATGGAATATGGAATTATTCCCAAGTTGTTTTGATATATTTCCTCACCTTTCCTCCCTTGAGTTAATTATGTATTATGATCATCATGGATTTACCTTTTCATATATTATACATGATTTCTACCGGTTGTTCAAGTCTATAAAGAGGGTGCTATCTAAGCCAAGTAGTTACAAGTGATTGGTATTAATTGAGGGGGTGGCATTATAGCCAGATGATGCTCGGTATTAGTGCCCAAGCCCTGCCCAAAGTGTTTAAGAGAGGTGGGAAATAATTGAGGGTTGAATTATTCTTATTGCGGCTATGGTAGTAGTACACATTCTGAAGGAGGTGAAAAAGAAAACTCCTCAGGATGACATGAGAAAGAGACGGGGGAAAAAAAAGGAACAAGTACAACATAGGAAAAAGAAAGCCGCTCTAAATGATATGCATATTCACATTGTACTGGGAAACCATAATGCAAATCCATAAGCCATAGCCAGTACTTATCTATTCAAAGCTCCCTGTAATCGCTAGGCCGAACTCGTCGGTTTCTAGCCTGATGACGTTGCGGATTCACAGGCTGACGGAAGTATGGTGAATCTTCTTCCCGGGAATATGGTGTGCTGAAAGCTGTCCGCTGCTGATTTGAGAAGTTGCTCATTCCAGAGCCTGGTCCTTGGAACCCGTTCTGGGGCATGGGGAACATCATTGAAGGGTCTCCATTGAACATATTGGGAAATCCGTTGGGCATGCCACCATTACTTTGATCGAACATTCCAGCTTGAAGAGGATTGAAAGGCATGTTCATGGGATTCCATCCCGGGCCCATGCCACTGGGAAAGCCATTGGCAGACGCCATTGCCATAGGGTTCATAAACCCCATGGCTTCATTACCGAATCCAGGAGCCGAGAAAGGCATCATAGGCATGCCTTGCATTGGTCCAAAGCCATTGAAGGGCATATCCTGATTATTAAAATTTGCTGGGGCAACACCAGGCGCACCGTCTTGGACGCTATTAGCCTGGGTCGGAACGTCGGGGTGATCATCATCTGCCTTCTGTTTCTTTGGCACGTTACCCAACTCGGAGGTTGCAGTTTCACTCCGGCTGGTAGGCTCATCCTCAGCAGACCTTTTCTTGGATTGTGTGGAGGCGGTCTCTTGAATTTGATTGAGCGGGCTCTGCTCTTTGTTGGCGGAAGACTCCTTGGGCTCGGTTTCGGAGACTTCGGGGACAGGAGTACCATCCGGGCCTGCGGGGATCTTTTCCTTCTCTTTCTTGGCTTCAGCCTTGTCGGCTTCATATACCTTAATTTTTGATGCAGATTCATCATCCGGTGTGAGGTTATCAAGTAAGACCCCCTCTGTAGCACATCCCGGGCAAACAAAGTCACTTTCAATCAAGGCATTTGAAATACAATCATTGCAATATGTCCTCTGGCAACACGGTGTCTTTGTTGGCTCTAAAAACATCCTCTTGTCAATTGGGCACTCCAGACCTCGATCTTGCAATGCTTTGCTCTCCTCGGCAGCTGCTGCCTCAGCTGCTGCTGCCGCCGATGCCTTCGCCTTTTCTTGGTACAGTTCCCAGGCCGCCTTGTCTGGCTTTGCAATGACAAAGTCACCATCAGCATTCACCATGACCCCTGTGTTCCTTGAATCTTCAGTGGAGCCATCGGGGGCCAGGGATTCTGGTTTGTCGACTTTGGTTTGAAGTGAACGTGGTATGCCAGTTGATCGTTTGACTCTATATTTGCCGTCGAACTTGGGGTCGTTATTGGTAGGGCAAGCTTGGATCCAGTGGCCTACGTACAAAAGTTAGCGGTCTGTGGGTGTGGTGATTTAGCCAGAGGTGCATACCTTTTTCCCGGCAACGATAGCAAAGATACCCTGGAGGTGGAGGGTGGTCGGGTACATTGACGGGTTTCCCTCTGCCACGACCAAACGGTACGGGTGTTGCGCTAAATTAAATCAATATCTCCAATATAATCAAAAATCCGGTTAGAGTGGTCTTACTTTGCCATTTCTTGTTGTTGCTCCTGCCATTGGCTAGCCTGCAGGTTGAACAGAGCATTGATCTTCTCTTCTTCTGTTTGGGCATTATTGAGTTCGAGGACGTTGTTGTTGACGGATTGTCCCGTTCCTGGTGTTACTCGGCTCATCGAGGGTTCGTTGCGAGGGGCACTGCGAGCATTGACTGGCATCTTGCCTGAGACATAACGAGCAGCACCACCCTTACCAGGGCGCGCTGCAGGCAATCGGCGGGCGATCACAGAAGTCGACCGAGGGATTATGGTGGTGTCATCATCGTATTCTGTTAGATGTCAGAAGAGTTCCTGTTAATCAGGAGCAAATGAAGCATATTGGAATAGAGTAACATACCCTCTCTGGTATCCTCATTGTAGATCGACAGCTCAAAGTCACTCCCATCGCCCAATCTACTTTGGCTGATAATCTCTCTTTTGAGCTCAAAGACCGAAATACCAGTGCCATCGAAGGTGACCCTTGAAGGTTCTTTCTGGGACTTGAATTTGAAATGAACGGACGATGACATTGTATTCAATTTGGGAAGGGGGTGATGCAACAAAGATGGCCGTGGGTGTATTAAGACCCAGATTTAGGGGCACAGCCGCCGTGTACAGTGAGCAATAGGGGATAATAAAAAGAGGAAAGAAAAACTTGTGGGATGAAGTGAAACTGGGTGTATCACCAGTCACAACAAAGAAAGGTTGGCCAACAGATGTTATCTGTTCAAATCACAGAGAAAGCACGAGATATTTTAAAAAGTGAAAGCAGGGATCAATAGACCACTGAGACAATGGAATATGAATGAATCTTTTTGAATGCTGAATGGTGAGTGTTCACGTCACTGCATACAAATGGAGATCAAAGAATTGATGAATACGATGATCGAAAGAACACTGGCGCTGAATAAAAGAGGTGTATTCAAGAGAGATTTGATGATCTGCCCCGTCCTTCAAGTGATTCGTAGAGCCACCCTAGCACCCTGACCTGTGTGATCGGACCTATCTGGAGATCCTTGCAGACACTAAATCCAGTTATACAGAGACCTGTTAGGAATGAGCAAATTCACTGTCGACCGAGACCGAGGTGTCGCAGTTGTTAGGTAACGTGATTTTTGGTGATCACGGCGAGACGGAGTATCATCAACGGGTGAAACAAAAGACTGACTTTTAGCAAGAAAGAGGTTAGGAGAAATAATGGGTGTGTGGGAATAGTGAGGATGGAAGTTTGTAGCCGCGGGTATTGACTGGAAGAAGAGGAGGTGAAGTGGCAAGTGAGGAAAAGTCAGATGATTTCAGGTCTGCTTCTACCGCCTTTCAGACCGCTTTTGATGAGTAATGGTTAACATTATCATGTGACCGTATGGGCCCCAACCTTTGGGACTGGCAAGACTCCCATCTACCACATTGAATAATATGTATGAAATTAAGATGGACAAGAATAGTCGCTTATGCGGCCTTGTCAAGCCTTTTTTTAAGTAGTCTTTTATAGTAGTATTTTTAGATATCTATCCCCTCTCGGTTTGTTAGGGAGGCAGAAAAAGCGGTAAGAGGGCTTAATTTGTATATATAACGCTGCCTACTGTGCTCCGAGGCACCAAGGCCCTTCAACTATCCAGAGCAAGGAATTTATTATGTCAAACGTCTTGTATATTAAACTCATTTGAACTGTATATCTTAGTTGATGAGTTCGGCCCTCTATTCTCTATTCTCGTATAAAAACATAAAAACGACACCAAAAAAAAAGTTGCCCAGCTGAAAATATCACACCTTTGACGGAGCCAACACTTTAAATCTCAGCCTCAAATTGGCGGACCAGGAATCCCTCAGTTTGAAGGTGGTCTTTCACTTGAGTCACCGTATATTCACCACGGTGGAACTGGGACATGGTTAGAGACTGTTTGTGAGAGAAAAAAAATACTTGGAAGAATGCAAACTTACCATTCCTGCTCCCAATGCTGCATCAGTGGTGGTTTTGTTGAAGACCTCTGCAAAGTGCGCAGGTAGGCCAGCCCCACTTGAAGCGATGACTGGAATCTTGATCGAAGCTTTGACATCTCTGATCAATTCCAGATCAAATCCACTGTTGCTTCCATCTTTATCAATGCAATTCAGAAGAATTTCACCAGCTCCCATGGCCTCAACAGCCTGGACAAGTTGTCGCACATCGATATCGCGAGTTTCTCTGCCACCTTTGACGGTGCATTGGTACCAGCAAAAGCTTTGCCCCTTTGAGTTAGGGAACTGGGTCTTAATTGTATGGTGGTGAGTGTCTTCTGGCTTGTCCACATATACCCGCTTGGGGTCGACGCTCACCACAACAGCCTGCTTTCCATAGGCCTGTGATATCGTCTCGATTGCGGTTTGGCCACTCAACTTCTCACCGGCGTGGTAATAGTCCTCAGCGGCAAAGACGGAATCGGAGCCAACGCTGACTTTATCGGCTCCAGACTTGAAATACATCGTTGCCACATCCAGAGCAGGGACGCGGGTGCCATCAGTGTCGACTGTGTCTTTGATTCCTCCGCCAATGGTCAAAGGCACAAAGACTGTCTCCGATGTTCGTCGCAGAATTTCAAGCATGGGCGTATCAGCAATGGGGCAGTTTCGGAAAGAGGTGATGTTCAAAAAGGTCACTTCATCTGCTCCTTGCTCGTAATATTTCTTAGCCATGTCAACAGGCTTGCCGAGGTTAC